GAGGAGGGGGAGGAGGACAGTGTGGTCCATGATGGTGAGGAGGATGGTGATGACCTGGTTCATCATGGGGAGGAGGGAGAGAAGAAGGAGCAGGTCCTTCACGGCTGTCTTGATCTTCCTTGCTGAAGTTGTGTTTGCGCTCAGAGTCTTCAGGTCTGGGTTGAGAAGAGGGTGGACATTCATGTCTGTGATGATGTCCATGATGATGTCTGTGACCAAAATGATGATGGAAATGGGGATGTCTGTGTGGTTTTCCACCTTTGCCTCTTCGCCCAAAGCCAAGCTGCTGTTTATAAAAACACCAGGGGAGGAAGTATTAAGTCAGGTGTTGATAGGACAGAAGAAAGTGATGAGCAAGAGAGAGGTGGGAGTTGGTAGGTCTGCATTTATAGCTCTGATGATCTTTAAGGAAAAAACCTGCATTTTTTTCAAGATGGAAGGAGTAGATGAAAAAATGCCAAATTACTGAAAATCTTCTGGAAATAGTACACCATATCAAAATTATATAACCAGCTGAGAAACATTTGTGATGGATCAAAACAAAATAAAACCCACATTAAAGTAGCTATTGTAATATAAACTGTAATACCAAATATGATAAAGATCATCTCCCCTTCTCTTGCTTTCTAAAATTCCTTTGAACTTGTTTGCCAGTCTTTACTCTCTTAAACTAAGTCAAGTGATTGACCTGAGAGAAGACTTGGAGGGAGTAGTAGTGACAGCTCAATTCCAATTCATCTTCTGATTGACCTCAAAGGTCAGTCTGTCCCAACATGCTGCATCACACCCAGGCAATAATAAATTGGCATAAACAACTGTTACAATCATCTGCCAGCATGGACTAAGCGAGGTTGCCGTAACCTGCGTGAGGATATAGCGAGAGACGTGTCCACAAGTGAGTACATACCCAGGGATGGTAGATTTCACAACTTATATCTGTTCCATCAGGTTCGTCTGCATCACTTATAACTCTTGCCGTGCAGAATCCCATGTGCTGAGCAAAAGAAAAGGAAAAAAGAACTGCAACGTACATCTGGATTCTTGTGATGGAGTTAATAGAAGCTACTGAAAGTTCAACATTTTACAAGTGAGGCTGGTTCCCTCGACACCTAAGTGTGTTCACACAGCTTAGCTAAATTCTGAGCTTTCTGGCCAAGGCTTACCAGCAATTAATAATGATTAAAATATGTGCAATTTTTGAGGGTTCTTGACTCTGAGGACCGTTTCACCATGTGCATCTAGAGAGCTTCTACTCCCCATCTTACTTCTCTTTTGAAGTCTAAGAAACTGGCCAGCTACTGATGTCTCCAAAACAAGTACCCTGTGAGGGATTGATTTTTATTCCTTTTTTTTTGTCTTGGCTTGTCAAACATATGTTTGGATAGGGCTATTCTGAAATTTTGCTCAAAGTTCTCAAAACCTGTCACTGTGTAGCTGTGCTGTTTCAGCCAAAGTTCAAGGCAGAGCTTTCTTCCTTGTTTTAAAAAATAATTTGTTGTAACTTTTTAGCATTTCTTCCCTTAGCATCCTGTTTGCTATGACTTTCTCCTGCTGTCCAGTCATTGTGTGTGGAATTGCTCATATGAAAGAGCACAAAACTCGTATGAGGGGTTCTGTGTATGCTTTCTGTAATGAATGGTTTATCTTGATATATATTTGGGCCATTAGTAGCCCATTATGATCAATGATTGGAAGTGTTACTGGCATTTTACACACACAGCAATGGTGGCAGCACTGAGAACAGAATTCAAACCCTCTATTGCCATTTCGTTTTGTGCTTCATTGTAGTGAACTTGTGACTCTGCTACCAGTTAATTCACAACCTTTTTCAGTCTTCTGGGGTATGCAAAGCTAGAGAAGAAGATGGATGTAAATAAAACAAAAGTTTTACATGTTTTATTTTTCCATGTTTTTGTTTCATTCCTTCAATTTAATTTCTGGGAAATAATTTTTTCGGAAGTTATGAGACCCTGCCTGGCTGTTTCTTTGGTATAGACTATTATGGTAATGGGAAAGTGAGGTGAGGAGAATACTTTGACAGTTATCTGCAGACAAACTTGATTTATATAATGTACTCTCCATTCCTCTGCAGCAGAGGAGAAAAAAGTAACCCTGAGCTCACTGGGCTGACATAAGACATGCATATTAGTGTAAAAGTTTTTATGAACATAGCATGGATGATTTGCTAGGGATTAGCCACAATATGAATGCAAAAGCCAGATACAGCCTGAAAAGCTCTAGGCCTCTAAAGTGCCAGAGTCCAGTTACATTTAGATTTGAGAGTTCAAACTGTCTCCTTATAAAATAAAAAGGAGCAGCTGTAAAATTAGGATCTGGGCTTGGACATGCTGGATCTTTGATTTTGAGTTTGGGTTCATTGTTATAAGCAACATTTGGAAATATATTGGAAAAATCTTCCTGGTCCCATCCATTGTATCAGTTCTTATTCTAAGACTTTACTTACAGCATGCCAGTCATGGAGAAAAACACAATCCAGGGCCTGATCTTCTTGCTCCACAGTTTTGGAACAGTTGGTCTCCTTTATAGAGAATCCTAAAATGTGAACTTCCCGGGAGCCAGTCTGAAACCAAGAGGTCAAACAAGAAACAGTAACTAAGTGTATTTAAAATCCTGTAATTTTCAAAGGAACCATATTTCATCTTGTTGTCAAAATCCCATCTAGGTCATGCTTTCCTTTCCTGTCCTGTTCAAATACACATATTCAGTGAGGAAAACAGGTTAGATAATTTATACCTTACTTTCCTCACACCCTCACAAGTTCCAGAAATGCTTCCTTTAATTCTTTGTCTAGTTATGTGTGTGTTAGAAAAGCTGTTACTTTTACAGCCTGTGTTTTTAGGCAGTAGTGTCCTTAGAGTCCTCCTGAAACTGAACTGCTGTTCCTGTGAAAATAGAGAGATCTACTGGATGGCAACCACCCCTTTCCAGTGATGGAGGTGCAGACTATTACAGTTCTGATGTTAATTTGGGGAGAAACCTGTGAGATTGTTGCTTTTTTTCATGGCAGGGGTGTTATTCATAGAGAAGGCATTACTCCATATGAATATGGGAGAAGGCCTTTGTGATCCTATTAAAACCCATAAGGAGGTGTTTCATTTTAATTTCCAACTGTAACAGTTCTTTATTTCAAGTCTGTGTTAAAGGTGTCCATAGCATGTGTGCGCACACAAGTTTCACTAGTTTAACTAAACTGGTTAAAAGCGGATGCACATTCTTTATGGTAGTTTTTTATTGTAATTCATAGTTTCTGGGTGTTATGCAGTCTGTTAAAATCCAGTGGTACAATCTAAAGTGTCCATGTAGCTGAAAACAAAGTGTTTGGGGAGAAATACATGAATCCAGGCAATCTGGAAACAGCCACTTGCTAAATGGGAGTGGGGGTATATCCTGCATGGGGCTCCAGTGTGGAACACTGTCAGGTTTCTGAGCAATATTAAAAGCTGCAGGGAGGTGGGGTTGGCATGCTGTAATTTAGGCAGTTTCCAAGATCAACATGTGGTATGGTAGGGGCTGTGGGACTTCATTACAGAGGTGTCCTGAGCTGATACACGTTGGCAGAATGATCCTGTGCTGTTTCAGTAAATGTCTCCAGTATCTACCACCAAAAAATTTTGATGATGTGAGGGTTATACTTCAAATCAGCCAAGGGATAAGTCTTCATGTCGACATCACTCAAATATGGAGTTATTTACCAGAGCCAGAAGTTCTTCAAGATGTACAGCATAGATACAAATTCACCTCCCACCCCAAAGAGCTCTCAGTGCTGCTTTGCTTTGCAGCAGAGAGTCAAAATGACTTTTGAATTTCCACTGTGTTGTACCCCTGAGCTAAATATTCTAAAAGTAAAAAATTATTTGTCTTCATTTGACAAAATGTGTGACTATAATAATACATGACTGTCCATCTAGAACTCTAGTCAATAGTAAATAAACTCATATGTGTTAGGATAAGATAGGTAAATAGGCATTAAAAATTAAAATACACCCCCAAAGAAGGTTTTGAATTTTGAATACTGTCACACTCCCATAGCTTTTAGTGAATAAGAAATCCTTTTGCTTTCACATGCCTAAATTGAAGTTGATGACAAGTCTGCAGAAGTAGGACTTTCAATTTTAAGCAGATGATTTGTGCTGGTAGGTCTGTTCCTAGAAGGATTTGAGCTCTGTTCCCATGGTTTTGAAGCTGCTCACAAAATTTTGTCATTTATAAGTAATTCTAGGACAAAATGCCACTTACCACCTTTAAAACCCTTTCAACTTTGTCCACAGCGAAGTAGTTTGTGTGGTTACTTTCAATTTTGAATTTCTTCAGGGCCTTTGTAGCAATATCTTTATGTTGCTCTGTGACTTCTAAGGCTTCAATTTTCACAGGACAATCTTTGCACTCTAATAAGTCAGGTGGAACTGTAAAAACAGAGAATTTACTAATATTGCAGTGGATATTAATACTCTTGTGAGCGTCCCTGTGCCTTTAATGTGAACTCATAATGAGAAACTGAAATGCAGCGTTTCTTTGGAAGTGAAATACCTGTCCCTCACTCCACAAATATGGATTTGTCATGTAACATGAAAAAAACCCAAACCCATGAAAATGAATATTCTTATAAATCTTTTAGCTTCACCTTAGAATCTTACCACCCCAGATGGGCATTCTTTCCAAGTTTACATTTGTTCTGATATTCATTATGATGTTTTGGTGGACTGGAATGGTGATATCATCTGACATCAATAAAGTCTGGTTTAGAAGAGTCAGGTAACCTTAATTCTATTACTCATTCTTAACATTCCATTTGAATTATCTAAAATATGAATTGCAAGCAGATGAATGAATCTGTTACGGTTACCACACACTAGTGGTGCACAGCCTTTGGTACTAGGGCTGGTTTGAGGTATGTGTTGGCTTACAACAGTGGTTATTTTACCTGGACTTAATGTACAATTAAATCCATATAGCTGAGGTTTCTTCAGCAGATGGTTCGTATATGTGATAATCTTACATTGCCCAAAGTCCTGAGAGGAAAAAAGAATACATGATTATGATGTTATTTTCACTGGATTTAATTGGATGTAGGCGATCATAGAAATTATACCTCCTTTTAATGTGCGGTACCTCCAAGAATAACAGATGTGGTCATTAATGGAATGTTTGATCTGGTACCACTCAAAATTTGTCTTCAGATAAAATGGGATCTCCCTTTACAAGAGCCTTTATTTTAATTCTCAGAGTGCATGACTGAGTAGACAATGGAAAACTGAACCAGCCTTCTCAGCCATCCTAATACTTATTTACAGTAAGATGATACTAGTTACCAGGGGAGGTTAGGATACTGGGTTCATAAATCTTTATCAAAAAGTGGATGGACCTTTTCTTCCATTCCTTTTCCCCATCTTAAGAAAAAGAGTAAATGCCTTCTCTTCTCTCCTCATGGCCTTTCTGCTTTGTCTTTTGTTGTAGTAACACAACTCTCCTATTTAAATAAAGTTTTGGACTGGGAGTTCTCATCCCAGACTGCCTCATTGGACTGGAAAAAAAGAAAGGGCAAGTATTGCTGTATGTCATTCGTGTACTGACACTACCAATATTTCACATTGTCATACCACAAATGCTATGACAGAAAACTGACAAAATACACCGCTGGTATTTCTGGCTCATATACTAGGAACATGCTCAAAAAATAATTTCCAGTGCCCTTTAGTTGTCAGCAAATTACCCTTAAAACATAAGTTCTGCTTCAAGCAGTGGAATGTGGAGGATAGTTCCTTTGAGAATACTAGTTAAATAAAGCTACACTTATTTGAAGAGTCAACCCCTTTCCAAGCCTTTAGCTTATGTTTAACAACTCTAGAATTAAATAGATTTTATTTTAGAATAAGCCATATTAAAGCTCAGTCTTCACTTAGAGATTTTGTGACACAAATTTCTGGGCAGTTCAGATGAAGCTCAAGTTAATGCATTGTTGGTGTATGACTCAGTGTGGGTACCATTACTTGCCATGGGATACGTATCACTGTATTCACAGGACTCCCAGTGTTTTCTGGATAAGACAGGGCATTCCGTTTCCAGCACATCCAAAGTTAGGTAGAGGACTGATGAATTTCCCTGGAAGAGACGTGTGAGTAAAAAAAGAGTTTGTAGACAAGAAGTTTGATCTGAAAGAAACTTTTTTTAAGGTTGATATGTTTAATCTTTAATAAAGCTTCTCCAGTTCTTTAGTAAGGTTTTTCTGAGCTGACAAGTGTAGAAAGGGTTCAGGCTGGAAGGGAGCTTTGGAGGTCATCTTGCCCAGCCACTTCCTCGAGGCAAAGCTAAAACTTCAAAGTTTTGGCTGTATTCCGTGTATCACCAAGACAGACATTCCACAACCTCTCTGGGCCATTCCAGTACTTAACCACTTTCTCCATGATTTTTTTTAGTCTTATATCTATGCAGAATTTCCCTTCCTGTAACTGTAACTGTTGCCTCTTATCCTCTTGTTGAGACCTCGTGAGAAGAGTCTGTTGTTAACCTGGCATTCATCAAGTAGGGAAAATGTCAGTGTTAAAAAGTTGCCATTCCCTCTTTCTGATTTTCACACAGAACACATTGTTAGGACATCAGTTGTGTTGGCAGCCAATTATGTAGCTACATCCATTTCAAATTACCTTAGTGATCAGATACTCTTTCGGAACTTTGCTTCCTGATCAGTTTATTCAGGGAGTGATGCAACAAAGCTGTAATAATCCCTACAAAGTCAGGAGCCTTAGCTCTGAAATTCTTCTAGTATATTCTATCTCCTGAGCGAATAGGATGAAGAATTAAAATTTGAATTTGGCTGCCAGTGTAATGGGATGTGGTGCTAAGAATTTTTTGTGGCCCACAGAAGCAGGTTTTTATTTTTCTGCAGGGGACTGAATCTTAATTCACATTTGGAATGAATTATTTAAACTTCATTCAGCCCTTGTATGGACATTCAGAATGAACACATACGTATTTTATTTTGTCATTTAGATAAAATCATGCAAAGCCCTTCACTGTGAATAAATGTCCTCAGGATTTATGAAGTTTCATCAGGTTCAGGTTCCTTTTTTAGTGTTTCTGTATAGACGAGACCTTGAGAAAGAATTGCTGCAGTCTAGTGTAATATTTTTATTAATGAGAGTCCACCAGTGTCATGTTAAACACTAGTTTTGCAGTACACATATATCTTAGCGTTGTCTCTAATTTTAAAATAGGGGTTAGGTGGATTGCACAAAGACATATGTTGTTCAATGGCAGAATTGGGAAAAGAATATAATTGTCCTGGACACACATCCTGCCCACTAGCCACATGTTTATTCTCTGCTTAGGGGTAGTTAGTACTTCTATTTTATTTTATAAATCTCAATAATTTCAAACTACTTGTCAACATATTGTTAAAATTCAGACAGAGAACAGAGACAGTGAGAAACACTATTTTCTGATTTGTATTTTTGGAATTGGCCTGAACGGAAAGGTAAGATAGTTAAGACAGTCTTTTGTGAAATGTGCTGTTCTCTAGGAATCCTCTAAAACTGAAATGACTAAATATGTGATGCACTTTGTTGTCCAAACTTGTGAAATGCTGAAAAAGCCAATTCATCCCTGGCAAATACTTATTTTCTTCAGCAGAAAGCATGGGTAACATTAAATCTCTACCTCCAAATATACAGTAGAAAATTCCTCTGTTCATCTGCTGGATAGCTCTTGGGGGGAAAAAAAATTCTTACATGGTGCCTTCTTGGTTGTTTTAGAAGCATCTTGGGCACTACATAAGCCTAGAACTGTTCTGTTGTGGATACTTGAGTATCTTATGCTTTTAGAACTCCCATGTAAACCAGTAGAGATCTGGCTGCTGGGAATTGCTCTGCTTAGGTTTTTGAGGGGGCTGATGTGATAGACCTGATGCACACTATTACATGGAGATAAGAAAAATAATGTTTTGGTCTTTTATAATATACATTCCTCCAATGAATTTTGCATGTCTTACTGCCCAGTAGCTCCACTTCACAGGAGTGGCACACACATTGCTGCATGGCAGCAGCATTCTTCAGGGACAGAAGATTTGAGGATTGAAATCTCTTAATGCAGAAGACCACTGATTCCTTCCTAGGTGAGCACTTTAACTGCCTGGCTGCTCCATAAAACTCAATACTATCACTTGCCACATCCTTGTCTTTGAAAAGCAAAATAGTCCATCAGGTTTTTTGAAATTATACCTGAAGACCTGTGGTAGCCTGGGTTTTGGGTCACTTCCCGAGCTTTACTTGTCCTAACAGGCAGTATTAAGCAGTTTCATCAAAAACTAGCCTGTTTTTCCTTTTGCCATACTGAGATGTGTAACACACTTCTGAAACACAACTTCATTGCCAAGCAGCCAAAGGGTACCACGTGCATTAGTAAATCTGCCTGTCCTTGGTCTCTTTTACATACTAGTTAAAGAAATTTTGTATTCTGTTGCTTTTTCCACTATCAATTTGTTCTGGCATTTAGGCAGTCATTGAGAAAGGCTTATATATCCACTTCTAGGAAGCAGAAATAGGAAGGAAAAAGGAAATGACTGCTATGGATTGTCTATCCAGCCCCTCCCCTGTTTTGCAGTGGCAACTCCTTTGGCTTTCTCTGCCTTTTTCCCTTCCTGCCAGTTAACCAGCTATCTCCAAAATGAAGATAATAACAAAATACTAGTCTTGCAGGATACATTGGTCTAGTTAATGTTAGACATTCACGGATTAAAGAAACCTTCCCAATATAAATTTTGAGTATAACATCTGAGACTTGACAACAGACAGGACAGATTAATTTCCAGTGTTCTATAAAGCTGTTCAGAGCAACTCTTATGCCAACATCCTGCTGACCAAGAGAATAGAGGGCATTCAGGATCTTTTGAAATCAAGCTTACGTGCAATAAATCATGCACAAATGAGTACTGAGGTAGTGTAAATCACAGCGATTCATTGAATTACATCAACATTAAAAGCAATAAACATTTATTTAAAACATTATTTAAAAATCATGGTCTTGTGTAAATCAGCCTTTAAGTTGATACTTACTGTTTGTAGTTCATGTGCATCGGCAACACGGAATAAACCAAAAACATAACCATCTCTGCGGTGTTTGTTGACCAAATCCAGGGCCACTCCTGCATCTGTTTCAATGGTGTTACAGTCTGCAGGTGTAAAGCTTGCTTTGTTTTGGGCATTAGAACACTGCAGTAGTGTTAGAAAAAAAGCTGAAGCTAGAAGCAGCATTTTGTTTGCAGTTCTAGGTCACTTCTGCTCATGCCCTGATAAAGCCAGCAGTCTGCTTTCAAATCAGAACAGTCCACCAAAGTTATAAATGAATGCTAAAAGGGCATGGTTTTATATAAATTTAAGTGTCATGTCAGACAGTCATTGCCTTGACCCTGGATTAACATTTGCAAACAGCAAGTAAATGATTATATGGTGATTTAGCAGATTTTGAGGAAAGTGGGCCTTATAATACTCTCTGGACTACTCATCAAAGGGTTTGTTTGTGATTCTTTATGCAGGCATTGTGCAATAATGCTTTACTAAGAAAAGTACTTACTTCTAGCAGAGTGCTGCTGAGCCTGGCAGTAAGAAGGTCCAACTTATGTGTGTAGGGATTAAATAATCTTGATCTTCCGTTTACTGTTGAAACAGTTGAACTGAAAATATGCTGAGATATTTGTGGTCAAATTATGGCTCTACCCTTATCCTTGTTTTTACAGATCCTTACCTAGCAGGGAACTAGTGAAAGGGAAACAAGGGAATCACCCAGAGTTGGAAAAGGGATAGAGGTCAAGGTGCACTCACAGGCTCATGGTCTGTAGCTTCTATGTGAGTACCTGCTACTCTTCCAGCTCAAGAAAATTTAGAGCAGACTTCTATCAGCTTTACATCATTTCAGTCTGGAACACAGGAAGGGACTGACTGGCTTAATACCCATATAATCTGGGCATGGCATGAAGTGATATAAAGCTATCTTTGCATTTTCAATCTGAGCAGTTTTGTGTGCTCTTTGACTGTAGTAGCCTTCATAGACTTCTTTAGAGAATTGCTGGTATTTTTTTGTATTTATTAAAATAATGCATTACAATATCACGATTCATACCTTTCACAGCATACACCAATATCCTCTGCTATGCAGAAAGGAGGAGGTGCTGTCTCATTGTACTCAAAATCTTTTATTCAGGATAGTTTAAGACATCAGTAATTGCTTGTCAAGGAGTGGCTGAAGATGGAATACAAAATTCAAACACTGAATAAGAAAATACAAAAATTCAATGTGAGTCCAAAATGACAAGGTCAGACTCAGATGAGGAATTTTCCAAATCCTGGTTGATGTGAAGGTTGGATTAGCTTCTCACAGAAAAAGGTGCTAGCTGTATAATTGACTTGGGGGCAGGAAGCTGGATGACCTTTAAGGTCCCTTCCAACTCCAACCATTCTGTGATTCTGTAACTTGGGTTTTCATGTTTGACCTTGAAGGGTTTTTTTTACTTACTGGTTGAGAAACATTCAGAAATATAATGGGTAATCATCCTTGACCATTACCTCATTTCATTAACCCTTATTTTAAAAAATTCCACCTTTTAGCATGTCTGGTGTCTAGGAAATCATATTTTAAAATGCACTGAGCTGAAGCAGTGGATTTCTTTTATAGTTAGTTCAGGACACAGTTAACAGTTCTCTGGTAGTAGATAAGCTAAATGGAACATCTTACAATATTAGAACCAGAGGCACTCAAAACTAGCATGAGTCAGCTGAAAATGGATAAAAATAGTCCCCTCCACAATGGGTAGTGAACTTGTGGAACTTGTTGTCACAGAAAGATCTGGAGGCAGACACAATCAGCAGGGGCAGAAATTGCCTAGGATAGTCCGTTGGCAGCTGGTCATTCCCTGTATCCCAGAAGTACTAAGCAGAAAAGTCCTCTTTAAAGTCCCGGGTACGATGATTCTGGGTACAGGAAAAGTTCAAGGGCAATGGTTTACAAAGAGGGGCAGGTTGTGTGTTTCTCCGAACCACAATTGTCTTTTACCACTGTGAGAGATGAATCCTGGGGTGGATGTACCACTGTTCTAATGAAATAGGGCATTTCTTTTGATTTTGTTTTTATAACGTTCCATTAGAGTAATTCAGAATCTCTTCTGGAGGATGGCAAAAAAGCAGTGAAATAAGTGTTGTCTAAATAATCAAAGACATTTGAAATACATCTCATCAGTTAAAAATAATACATCACTGCTATGTTCCAAATTGCACCTCAGTTCATTTATTACAATACTGGTTAATTTTTTCAAATGGGCAGTCATACTGAAGAAAGGCATTGGATTAGATAATTTATAACATAATTCCCTTAGCTGTCTGTTGTTTGCAGATTGTTTGTTCTTTTTTTCCTCTTTTGTTCTGGGCTGTTCATTGTGACACTGATCATTTTCTTGACAGTAGCTTATGTATGTTTTAAATATAAAATAGAAACAGTCTGAATAAACAGTGGAAAATGTACAATTCCTGCAAAACTGACTGTAGAAGTAAAGTAAGATTCTGTTCCCACTCTAGAGAGTTTTGTCCTTGATTTCTTTGGAAAAGAAAGATTGGACTCTATTATTAAAGCACTGCATGGACAAGCACTCCAGGCACAGTAAGAGCAGTTAATTAAATATTGGTTGTATTTAAGTCAGTATAATGTATTTTTATCACTTCTCCTCCAGTTTGGTATCTTTTTAAAAACTTATTTTGTTTTTATATATACTACTTTTAAGTTTTCTGTTTTGCTTTAATGAAGCCATCTCTGTAAACAGATTGCTGGAAGGAATAGGAAGTTTTATCCAAACATGGCATTTCTCATGAGTAGCTTATCAAAACCTTGTTTATGACTTTTACCAAGGCTTGACTTGCAACAGTAAGAGGTGATCCACATTCAGACCTTAAGGATATGGTAATAAACATCCATCCTAACCCTCTCCAGAGATCTGGGAGAATACATCAAAAAGAGGCTTATCTTCCCCACTTGAAAAACAGCATATGAAATGCTAGATAAATAGAACTTTATTCTAGGGGAATAGGAAAAGGAGAGCTGACACATAAAGGAGATAATACGCAATAACCAATTACTCTTTTGCTAAAGTACAGCCATAACTATTTACAGATATCCCTGATTTCTTGGGAGGACAGCTGCTATGAGCAGACTGTTCTCTGCCTTCTGCGGGAGCTCTGCTTTTTAAAATCTACTTGTTTGGCCAAGGATGAGTGTAGGAGAAGGGTAGCCAAGGAATCTAAACAAATACATAGCCAACATATGCATAAATAAGCCAGCAAATCTTCTTCAGTACCCTTTTAATATTACTGTCCTTTTTTTTTTTTGCATTCATGAGGCCTCACCTATATTCCAAGGTAAAGCCTATCTGATAAAAATGTCCACAGTCCTGGAGGTCATTGACCATTGGTTATCTGTGCCTCAATAAAAAACACTGTCCATGTGCAACTGGAATGTTGTGAAATAAATATCAGACCAGACTTTAGCTGGACATTGCCCAGATAGCAAGATATTAATGCATGATATCAATAAGTGTTGAAAAACTGTGAAACAAAATTGAAAAGTGAATAGAGAATTCCACCTGCTTCTCATCTCCAGTGACTCCATGGAGGGCTTCCTGGTGTTACTGGCCTGTTCTCTGCTGGACAAGGAGAAGCAGCACTTAACAATTCAGTCCTGGGAGAGGAGAGAGCATTTGGGGTGTGATTGGATGGACATAGCTGTTACTGCCTTTGCTTTGCTCAGATTGGCTTGAAGCTGAGGCCAGGCCAGAAGATGGAGAGGTTTGGCACTATCTGGGCATGTTTTTAAGAGGACTTGCTGCAGTGCTGTCTCACAGTCGAGGTGTGGAGACCAGACACAGAGCACCCTGTGCCCTTATCTGCCCATGTGGGTGTGCTGGAGGGAGAACACTGCAGTGCTGCCCCACTCACAGATGGGCATAAATCTGCTGAATCAGCAGCAGGATTTGAAGTCATGATGACTAAACATTACCAGCTGTTAATAATATCAATGCCATATGGGACTGCCGCAGCATCCAGGTATATGTCCTGAGGACAAAGGAAACACAGAAACTGTACAAGTTCAGTCTCCTACTTGCACTTCAAGAATTTAATCTTGGACATCAGCACCAGGACTCAATTATGGTAAACATTGGCAGTGGCCTCGGTGGCATTGAAACTCGGTAGAGGACTCTGTGCTGGACCAGCCACAGCAAATAAAGGCCAAATAACGATCATGACTCTGCACCGACCACTGGTACTTTGTTGATCTGCACTGGGGATACAGTTACTGCTCAGATAGACACCCCTTCTGGTGTTTATTTTTAAATCAGAGAAGTCTTTCAACCCAAATTCCAGATCTGAGCTAGAGAAAATATTGATTCAAATGTCATTTCTAAGCCTCATCTGAAGAACAAGCTACACAGTATCCAAATGGAATGCTCAAAACTGTGGATCTAGACTTTCTGATATCCCCTGTAACTCCCCCTGCTTATGTTCACACAGTTGTGCTCCAGTTGTGTATGTTCATATAAGCCTCAGTAGTGTCATTAAGCTGATGGAGCCTCTCTGAGATTAGAATCAACATGCAAACAGTTAATAAAAAGGACCGTGTCCTGAAACAGCAGAAATGGGAAGTGTGGTGATTAACTGAAAAGAGGGGGGAAAGCAGCATTTTGAAAATCCCTGGAGTGTGACAGGCTGTTGCCCCAGTGCCCTGCCCTCTGGTGCACCAAAGCCAGCTGTGGGTGCTCTGTGCGAGGACGTGGAGCAATGCCTGGTGCCCTCAATTTTGGCAGGTGGCAAATCAGTGATTCCTGTGCAAGGAGGTAGAACACATTGGTCATGTTGGAGAAACCTGAGCTGGAAAAGGTGAAACTTCCTGAGGGAAAAACAAGGTGCTGTAATTCGATGACTTGATAAAAAGGGGAATGCTGACACAGCTTAGAGCTCTACTGCAATAAGGATTGGATAGAATTTGAATTTTAGGATTTTTGGAGAACTATCTGATTTGGAATGTATTTCTACTCTGAAATGAATGAAATCAAAATATATTGAAATTTTTCATGATGTGGGATTGAAATGGAATAATTTTGGCTCAGTTGATGTGTTTCACACATCACTTTTTGTCTTATTTTAATCTTTAAAGCAATTAGATTACTCCTTTATATCAAATTTATGTTTATAAGAGATTTGCAAACTGAAAAAACAAATATTGTTGCTGTGAATATAACTCCATACAATATTTCAATATTATTTTTTCCTCACTCAAAGTAAAATAATACTTTTCTTTATATCTTATTTATAGTAA